AAACAGTTAAACATGAGAGGATTTTGGACAAAGTTTGTGTTTTTTTTCCCATTGTTTAAGCACTGCTTCCAGCCAAGAGTGATACCATATATGCCCCCATAGCTGCAGATTGTTGTTATCTTTTTACAAAAAAAAACAAAAAAAAACAGCTGAACATGAGAGGTTTTTGGACAAAGTTTGTGTTCTCCATTCTTTAAGCACCGGTTTGAGCACCGTTTAAGCACCGGCACCGTTTCAAAAGTACCGATTTGGCACCGGTATCGGATAAAACCTAAACGATACCCATCCCTACTCACAAGTGATGTTCACATTTACATGAATTAACTTGGACACAACATGATGGCATAAAAGCTTGAAAATACTAAAGCTTCAAGCCATTTTCTTCATGTATGATTAGAAGACAATTGAAAAATAATATCCAGAAAATATCCCCATCTCTGGGTACGTTGCTCTGGATTGTCATTTCATCTAAAATGTTGGTCTTTGTCCTTTTACATGTGAATCATTCTTGGTTCTTCATGTTGTATAATAAAGTATTTCCCATATTTACTTTAATCTTTAGCTTTTCAAGCATCCATTGGAAAAAGAGGGACAGGTGGGTGGACCTATCCTGGCTCAAGAGGAGATTAAGACAATATTTGGCAGCATCCCAGACATCTATGAAGTTCATACCAGAATAAAGGTAATGTATCCCCAAACGTTTGTCTTATGCAGAAATCGGAGAAAAGTTTTGTTGTTAACCTTCTGGTCTGTTGATCAGAATGATCTTGAGGAGCTCCTCACAGACTGGTCAGAAAACAGAAGTGTTGGAAACATCATTCTGAAATACGTGAGTTTCTACGTGTTTATACATGATGTATACATGCTATAAAAGTTCACACATGCTTGGTGGTCAAGGCTGGTCAAAGTCGGAGAGAAATAATATCGGCGTCATGGTGTGTCAAATTACTTAATGAGACTAGTATTTTGGATTCTCACGTAAACTTTATTCTTCTGTGTGACTCTTCCTTTTTCCCCCTTCCTTATAGTCTAAAGAGCTGGTGAAGGCCTACCCCCCCTTTGTCAACTTCTTTGAAATGAGCAAAGAGACCATTGTTCGGTGTGAGAAACAAAAACCACGGTTTCATGCATTCCTCAAGGTATGACTTTTTATGTTTGTGTGTTTTTTGCCTGTCTAGTGGATTTCATGACATGAGCAAAAAAAAAAAATCTGATACATAAAAAACCCCCAACTTGATTAAAATTTGACAGATGTTTGTATCCACAGCCTTTTGACTGTTTACCACTGCAAATACTAAATCTTTCAGAGGAAGTCACATTATGTCCCCTTGCACCTGTCCATCTATGACTGACACTGACTCTTCAATTTTTATCAAAAGTACGATCCTTCAACTTGAGTTTTAATTTTGAGAATTTGGCAGGCAGGCAACTCCCTCCATGCAACTTGCCGAATCTGGTGAGTGGGTCAGGTGGTGAGGTGAAGATTGTGTTGGTATGCATAAAAGACTTTTGCTTTCATTGTGCACTCAACATGGCGCACACCTTCAGTTTAGATTATTTCCTCTGAATGTTCACTGTCACATCCCAGTAGATTTTGCACATTATAGTAGGATCTCTTGTTGACAGTCTGACCCAAGGGGACAAGTTCACAGTGCACAACGAATGCTGAGAGGGGGGGAAAAAAGAGATAATGTGACCATACTCCCAGTGTCGCTCTTCACTTAATGTGCTACCCTCAGGCTTATAAACTGTGGACTCTTCAACTGAAAATTACAGTGGTTGTAGCGGGAGACCAGACTCTCATCACCAGCAATATTTCATCTCATGAATTCAAAACAGAAGCTGATGTTGGCTGTCTGCGTTGCAGTTTCACTGCAGACCTCGAACTTGCGCAAACAGTGCAAGTGGTAAGAACTGAGCTTCCAGGGAACAACATAACAAAAGCTGGCACACTGGATGCTGTCTGAACATGATGACAAGATGACCTTAAACACCCTAATTTTACTGGCCTGTTTCCAGAATTTTTTAATCACGCCTCATAAGTCTAAAGACTTTTCGCTGGCTTAGAAAATCA